TTTTGTACGCCTTGCATTACCTTTCCCATCCACTACACACAAAAAAAAAATAAATGATGAAATTGAATAACGATATATAAAACTTTCAAAATGCCCGTCACCAAACCCCTCTCCTGGTCCTCCCAGATACGGGTAGCTATATGTCCTAGAAAGCTAGGAATCACACTCCCGTCTACAGGCCCCCCAGGCACCACACCCTTAACCACTCAAGAATCATTAATGGCCCTCGACCAGTTTTCTGCTTGCCCCAGACACGGTGGATGCAGATGATGCGCCAGATCTACTCACAAACCTACCATCCCTACCCTTACGCACATCTACCTTATGTGTCTCGTACATGTCATCTAGCCTCTGACTGAATGGACCGTAATCATCATATGGTCCACTCCCATCGTCCACATCCTCATATGCGTCCTCCTCCTCCTCCTCCTCCTCATCATCATCATCATCATCTTCATCCTCATCCCGATGGTGAACCCATTCTCTACGAGCCGAGGCCGAAATACCACGGGATCTAAGATGTCTGGGCCTCGAGCTCTCCATCGAGTAGTTTCCAGACCTAATAAGGTCTAAATTCTTCCCCGCACCATGACGAAAATGCGACACCTTCAAAAAATTAAAAAATGTATACACATTTAAAAAATTATAAGAAAAATAACTACCAAAAACCAAATCAAATGAACTAAAAAAAATACTAGCAAACTACCCTGAAAAAGAAATTAACAAAACACTTAAAATAAATTACAGAATAAAATATACACAAACAAAGAAAAAAAAACCAACACATACAAAATTTATATAAACATAAAAGAAAAAAAAATAACCTAAACGAAAATATATCAACTAAACAGAGAAACATACTAACAAATTGCAATAACAAATATAAAAAAAAAATTGTACAAAACAAACATACAAAGAAATGTAAAGGAAGTATAAACGTAAAAAAAAATACAACAAAATTGAAAAAAACTTAAAAAAAACATAAAACATAAAACACAAACAAAATTTTATTTTCAAAAAAAAAATTAGGGGAAAAAACAAAAAACAAAAACATAAAAAAATTATGATTTTCAAAAAAATAAACAAAATAAAAAAAACTGATTTTAAAAAAAAAACCATAAAAAAAACAAAAACCCAAAGAAAAATACTCAAAAAAAACAAAAAACATACAAAACATAAAAAAATTATGATTTTCAAAAAAATAAACAACATAAAAAAAAAAACTGATTTTCAAAAACAAAAACCCAAAGAAATTACTTAAAAAAACAAAAAACAACAAAAACATAAAAAAATTATGATTTTCCAAAAAAAAAAACTAATTTTCAAAAATAAAACCATAAAAAAAAACCCAAAGAAAATTACTTAAAAAAACAAAAAACAACAAAAACATAAAAAAAATTATGATTTTCCAAAAAAAAAAACAAAATAAAAAAAAAAACTGATTTTCAAAAAACAAAAACCATAAAAAAACAAAAACTCAAACAAAATTACTTAAAAAAACAAAAAAAAAAAACGATTTTCAAAAAAAAAATTCTGATTTAAAAAAAAAAAAAAACTGATTTCTACAAAAAAACAAAAAAAAGGGGGGGCGCATGGCTGGGACGCCACGCCATGGGTGGCGGCGCCTGGCCAGGACGCCATTCCTGTGGTGGCGACGCCTGGCTAGGACGCCACACCGGTGGTGGCGGCGCCAGATCCAAACGCCATGGCCGTGGTTCGGCGTTTGATTCTGGCGCCACCACCACCGCCGTGGCGTCCTCCCCATGCGTCCCACCTTTCCACGGCATTTTTTTTTTTTTAAACGGAAAAAAAACCAACCTTGCCACCTTGAGACCTCCTTCCCTCCGCCGCCGCCGCCAATTCCTTGTCTTGCCGCCTCGACATTGCCGGACTTTGATTTTTTTTTTTTTTAAAAAACGTAGAATGAAAGTGTCACAGATTTTTTTTGTTAGGGTGATGAGAGAGTGTTTTTTTTTTTAGGTCAAGGGCAATATTGTCAATTCAATGGAAATGTGTGGGCTTTAGTTGGTAATTTGTAGGCGATGTTTAGCAATTCACCAAATCTATTCAAGTGAGATTGGGTAAGTATTTATTTGTACAATTTTATTTTTTTTCATTAAGATGTGGAATCGCAGCACTTCCCATGTTCACATCGACCGGAAACACATGACATTCCTCCACAACAACGCTTAAATATGCCACAAGCATCATGAGTTCTAGCAGTACAACCGGAGACTGCTGCATGACCTATAAAATATTAATCTAATACTTCCAATACTAAACCTAGGAAGAGAAGATATAGAGGTAATGAAAGGTGATTACCAAAATTTATCAATTCAAAACAAACACAAAGTAGAAGATATAATTGAGGTTGATAATGATCTGAATGTATCAACATATATATAATCGTCCATACTCCATAGACATTATTGTCACCTATCAAATAATTAACGAGGACCATTTATACAATGGCAAAATGCAAGATGATATGCTAAATTAAAATTACCTTCATAGTTGCTAACTACAAGGACGAACAGCAGAAATGCAAACATATTTTTTTTGTTGGAATCCATTCTGAAGTATTAATACGGAGTATTGTAATGGGTTGAGTGCATATCAGCGTATAGCACCTATTGACAAACGAAGTGTATAGGAGGACAGAAGTGTAATTTACCAGGCATTAGAAAACTTGAATAATCCACTTTATTGTGCTAGTGGTACATTTAATACTCCGAAAATGTACCACTGAAATCACGTTGGTATATTTAATCAAAGTGATACGTACGTTTTATATTTTAAAACCAGTGTCATCCTATATACTTTTTAAGCACATATGTGCTATGCATTAATACTTATTCTGGTTTATATGATATGATCAAATAATGTATAGATAGTGGGTTTTGAAGTACTTGTTATTTCATCATTTGGGTGTCCCTATTTATACTAGTTTCGTTCGCTTCCACCAAAGTGTTTTTATAAACTATAAATCAAAATAAAATTATTTGACAGCATTATTTTAATATTGGTTTGTAACATTTATACACAATCACTATTATCTATTCAACTCTATTAATTTATTATACAGATTTTTTTTAGATGTATTTGATTTTATAGATTATTAATATAAATCGTGCTTAAAAGGTTGAGAAAGAATACACACTTTGAAGGTGTTGAATAAGTTATCCAGTCAGCATTTTTTGTTATTTCTTATTTGATTTATGCTTTTGAAAATTGTATACTTCGTATAAAAGATAATTCTAACATTGTGTTCGAAAATTCATGATCAATTATAACATGGTGCACTTTTGCAGCAAATATATATTTATGGGGGATTTTTCTATGTGTGTGGCTAGCTACACCGTATAGTCGGGATTACTCGAGTTATTCGATCAGGGGTTACTCGAGTTACTCCTGACTGAATAACCCCTGACCGAATTACTCAAGTAACCCCTAACCGAGTAATCTTTGACCGAACCCTTCAAGTAACCCCTTACCAAGTAACTCAAGTAACCCTGACCACCCGGTGTGGCCAGCCACATATAAAAATTTGTGAATATTTAGTTTTATCAACAAAGAGTTGGCTCACTTGGTAAGGTTCTTACCTCAGATCTTAGAGGTTTAAGGTTTGGATAATCCTAGCAAGTGAGGATATTTGAGGTAGAGATTCCCTTACCCTCCCCTCTACTCCCAAGTGACTGGCCCGTAAATACTGGACAAAAAATTCGTGAGGGTTGAGGTGTGGTCAGGGTCTTTCTTACCAATTAAAAACTAAAAATTAAAACATGGTGCACTGTTTTTTAAGTAAGATGAACACTATTGAATCGACACCTTTCACAGGTTAAGCTAGCTATGCGGAGGCTAGCCCAGCTCCGCAGGTTATCGCAATTTTTTTTATTTTAGCATGCTTGGTGGAGTTGGTGGGGAACTTACTTTGTGACTTGGAGGTCACAAGTTCGAGCCCCACCAACTACTTTTACTTGAGAGTATGGGAATTTCCTTATCTGCCCCCTCAACTCTCAAACGATGACATGCGGAGCTGAACTAGGTTAATCTGTGAGAGTTGTCGATTAAGTAGGGTCCTTCACCTTAAAAAAAAAATAATAAATTAAAAAATTAAAAATTAAAACATGGTGCACAGTACAGTGAATGTGATATGAGTTGATAATTTATTACAGGGGTACTTTGAATCAAAGGGTTGACTCTAGGATTGATCAGAATATTGAATGTAACCTGTGGCAACTAATAATAGAGCATATAAGAACTAATAGGATTACAAGTGCGATAATATGATACCAAGTATTCCCCCCATTCTTTATTGTTCTACGGAGTATCCACTTTTCATTTTTGTTTGCTCTATTATATTCTAACTTCCTATGAAGTATATAATTTACCCCTTTTACCTCACAATAATTACATTTTCACTTTTATTTTGTACTTTTTTCTTACACGTTATACCCACCCACCCTTTATATTATTTCTGCTACTTTATCATACAAGTAAATTACAAGTTAATATCCTATATAAACAAAATTTGTTTATATCAAGGGTTTTTTTGTAAATTCTTAAGCAAAAACTCCCTTTCTCTCTCCTCTATCACCACTAAACCACCACCAGCACCACCTTCTGACTACCGCACGACCACTAACACCATCATCCGACCATCGCATGACCACTAGCACGACCATCTGACTACCGTACGACCACTACCAGTCTACCACCACCAATCGACCATTGCACGACCATTAGTACCACTAGACGACCGTCACACCTCTGCGAGCACCACCCTTTCCCTAAGGGTTTAGTATGGGCCCACTTTACATGTCCTAATAGGGTGTCTTTTGTTTGGCCAATCGGCCGGCCGGTTTAGACTCTTGATGGTGGTCGAATGGTCGACAAGGCCATGAGAGGGGAGGAGAGACAAAAATAAGTGAAAACAATATTTTGTCAATATAGGATATTAACTGGGTTTTGCTCCTTTATTTGGATTAGAGGTTGTAAGGTGAAATAACAAAATTAATGAAGTTGGCTTATTATTTTCACAACACGAGAAATATAGTACGATTACATTCTTACACCCAATTATCAATTCTCCTTAGTACAAAACTACAATGTTATCTACAGGTAAATAACAAGTTGACTAGACAAGGACAACTTCCTCAAACCCTTTCAAGCACTCAATGACAATGTTTTCCTAAATAACCATCTCATTTTATAGTACAATCCTAGGTGATGACACAAATACGCAAATGCCTTGTGAGATCAAACGCTACGACTTCATGCTCAGGGCCGCAATTACTGAAAAATCGGGCTGTCATCTTTATGTAGAGTCCACTCCTTCACCCTGCTGTTTAGCAAGGTATCTCTCTCTTCTCTCTTTCTGATAAAATGCATGATAACACAGAAGTTGAGTATATGGGTGCAATACCAACTATTACAAAATTTCACAATACTAAAATCATGTTCTATTATAACTCACCCATTCATCTATAACAAGTCCTTCACCAATGATCTTCGGCCCATTGTCCTCTGGTGGCTTCTTGCGTTCTTCAAGCTCCGCCTCTGCCTCCGCTAATTGACGCTTCAATTTTTCAAAAGCCTTGATAAACAGAACAAAAGAATGCAAAAACTGCCTTAGAGACAGACTTGTCTGTGGCGTTAATTGTGCATAAGTCAACATGTGCACATTATGTGTTTTCTGTGTGAGGTAGAGCTAATCATAACTAGCCAGTCACAGCTCAAGCTGGGTTGAGGCTGCTGTTTTTTCAGCCCGACTTGCAGTTTTTTTTTTTTTTTTTGAAGAACCTGACTTGCAGCTTAGGATGGCCTAAATTGTCAGGATTTTTTTGGGGTGCGGTACGGCCCAAGAATTGCTCTTTAGACTGCTTTTGGATTTGGCTTGAATTTACAGGCTTGGGCATCATTTTTGGCCCAAACATTGTCCTGATTAAACATGATCAGCTCTAACAGAGCACTTCTGTAGTTTAAATAAAGAAAACAGAGCACTTACAGCACTGGGACGCTCTGTGTCTAGAAATATAACACGCAGTATCTGTTCTATGGCTACTTGATCCTTCTGCTCATCAAACTGCATAGAAAAGACAAAAAGTTATAAATAATTTGATAAGATTACGCAGTTCAACTTTAATATTACACGAAATGGAAGCACAATGAAAAAAACGTTCAAGAAGATCTAGTCATAAGGCTTCCTTGATTTTAAAACCTGAACCACGTAACATAGCAAACAATCCCATATAACATATGAACAAAGTACGTGAGAAGCATTGCCCTGGCATACTAAGCTTAAGATACTGAACCCAATTCACTACGAAGTATAATTAGAGACAACCTTAAATCAAGCTTTCTTCATTTGAAAATATTGGAAAATGATACTTGAATTTTGCTATTTTGTTTTGTACTCAACAAGAAAGTGTTAGGATGTTTATGGTTCAATATTATTTTTAATTTGTAATATTGTATGGTTTGCTGAGCATAAAATTTTTTTCTTTAACATTTTCTCCATTATACTAGCAATGCTATTCAATCTTTCCTAGATTGGAAGAGCCATGTTTGATTGGATAAAGCAAGTACAAAAATCTAATGGGCTACACATTTTAATTTAGTTGAACAGAATCTATCTATTAGAAGCAACCTTCAAGGCTCAAAAAAATACTATAGCCGGCACCTTTCTCTCAATGGAAACAAGCCAAAATAGCTTGATATTCAAACTTCACCTTCTCTATATAAAAGAACTAGAAAATATAAAGTGTGGAGCTTGAATTTGATCATTGTGTGAGACAGTGAGAGAAGCAAAAACAGTTTTAGAGAATCAAAAACCCCTAAAATTTAAACTTGTTGGTAGACGAAGAAAATAAAAGAGAGGAATCCTTCAAGCAGAAGAAGCAGCAGTGAGAGTGAAGTACATGGCTAGTACAAATAGGAACCCGAGCTTACAATTTACTACTCACTAACAGGAGTAAAATAGAAGGAAAACAGAGGTAAGGGAAGAGAGATTACGGGAGTAAAAAGAAAGGAATACAGACATAAGGGAAGAAGAGAATAAGAAAAATAGACAGGACAGAACAAGAGTGTCAATTATGTTCAACAAAAAAAGGGGTCAGTAATCAACCGACTGAAAGTTGCAGTTCACTTTTTTAGTGGAAATTAGATTCAGCGTGTTTATTAAAAGAAAAGATTTTTTAAGTTTTACCCAACCAAAAAAAAAATAGTTCACAAAATCTGTCTATGCCACTGGTTTCTGCACAATTTCGAGGATAGAGGTCAATGGTCAGACATTTTGTCCCTCCTAAACCTGTCGATCTGACAGAAAAATCACACAAACTATTCAACATAACAGATCCCATCAAGATAAGAGCACCAAACAGCAATTCTGCAGCCCTTAATTTAAATTTGCTAAATATTGTAAGAGAGAAATGATAAGACATCTTCAAATGTAAGACAGTATAGACGCACCATTTCAGGAACATATTCCATTGGTCCTTTCACCTTTAAGCTCATGATTTTGAACTTCACCCTGCTCTTCTGCTCTAACAAGGGTTTTTCATTGTTCTCTGGATGCTCAACAAACTTAAAAACTAGCCGAATTTATGTACAACAAAAGAATACTGATTAGGTTCCCAAAAGAATAGCTACAAGGATATGAAATAAAATATTCAGGCATAAGGGATATATACCAGTTGCAATGAGGCTTTCACCAGGAGCAAGAATAGCTCCTGGTGGACGCATAAAACAACTTTTTGGAGCTGTTGTTTGAAACTGAAACAAAGAATTCAATCATGAGATTCATATTTTGGCTTTGAAGAACTTAACGACTCATCCACACATAAACCACTAAACAGTAGCATAAATTAGCAGATCCAAAATTATTACACCACAAGGGGTACAAATCTGCTGCCTGTGAAATTGTCAGAGGATAATATATTCAAAGTCAGCACCCATACCTTGAAAGCTACGTGAGATTTGCTTGTATTTTTAATCTTTATGGCACTCCTAACCTGCTTGCCAGGTTCATCTGTAAGACGGACAAAGTGGGCATTAGAGCTACACATCTTTATACAAACTTAAATATTATACTTACAAGCGCATAAAATTGGTCCATATAGAAAAAGAAAGTAACCTCTCATCCCTTCCCCATTTAACTGATCCTCCTAGTCTTTCCCTCATTTCCACTTTCCCTATCTAGCTCTCCCTTCCACAAAACCCCAGCTCCCTGAGTCACTCTTGAGCTGGCAATCAGCATTTGCATGCAACCCTGGATCTCCTATGAAGAGCATCAGTGAGCTACAGTAGCACATGGTTCATGCCTATATACAGCAAGGCTCACTCAAGCCTTGTCAAATCTACATGATCAACCCACCTCTTTCATCCCTGCACTCTCCCCCCACAATCCTAAGACCCTGTCCTTTCTCTTTCAACCAGACCCGGTAACTTTTATGTAGCAGTAATAATTGAGTGGTGGAGACACTTATGTGGGTTGACATCCAACTAGTTGTGACCACTGAAGATAAAAAGTGCGCTATTTAGTAATCAGACAAATATGCAAGGAGCTCTCAAGGAAGATATAAACAGGTTAAACAGCCTCCTTTAATGAGTGATTGACAGTTTGCACATCTAGTCACAGAAACTCCAGAGAAATTTGGTTGCAGTAATGTTGGGTTTGAGATGATTCAGTGTAGGAAGTAGAGAGAGAGGTTTGGTTTAAAAAAGTAACTAGTAATGCCTTTCAATGACATTATATCATCGGTATTCTCATATGTGAACATATACACTTCTTTCCTAATCAACAGAACTTGTAAAGAATTTTGAGAATCAAATGCAAGCCTTGGACATACACCGCCATGCATGTAAAATTGCACATATGCATGGCCTTCAGCAATAACCCTAGTAAACACATCACACATGCACGCAGTTACACAAAGTGAAAGAGAGCATAGAAACACCAAAATAAAAAAAAAAATCTGGACATAAATCTGAATACTGATCTATGAGCACAACTCAAGATGAACGAAGAAGATAACTTTTCAGACAGCATAGCGATAAATGAGAAGGCATTCCCAGCTATAGAAACAGATCTTTGCATCAAGCGATATGTTGTCATAACTCATCAGTGTAGATCCTAACCAGAACGGAAAAAGTCTTCTTGTGGCTGCAAGCAATATCATCGTAAAGAAACAAAAGGACAAACTGACAAGTAAAATCACAGAGATACCCAAGTGAATGAACTTACACTACAACTCTCAATTTAAGATGTTTAGGAAAAAAAAAAAGGCACTTACTGAGTCTATTGTAACTACAACTCAAGTGAACAAAGTTCACAAACTGAGACTACAACTTCCAAGAAAATGACACACAACAGACCAAGGGCATAATCATCTTAGCCAAATAGATATTACCATATTAACTACAGAAAGGAATAAGATTTGACAAAACTAAACCAAATGCTAATTTAGTAGGCAGGGTATCTGCATAGAATATAAGGCCTTTCCCAATATACCAAAAAAAAAAAAAAAAAAAATAACGTTGCCCCTTCTTCGTATCTGCCTCTCGCAAGCCATCAGAGCAGGCCCTGTCCCCTGCTACAATTTTACTGTGGTGTGGTTAGGACAATTAGTAGGTGAAGCAGATCAGGAAGAGCAAAGAGATTGATAAACAAGAGAGCAAGACAGGGTGAGCGGCAAAGAAAGATTGCATCTACCCTTTTCAGAAGGATGGCGTGAATCAGGTCACTGATGTGCTGATAATGGCAGTGGCCTGGCTCCAGCCGATGATGGATGTTGGGACCCCCCTAGTTTTCTAATCCATATTCGATAATTAAAATGAGAATAAAAATCACCATTTGAGATCCTTTCATACGCAGAAAAACCCGTGGATTCACATTCACTCACCATCTCAGAGATCTTTCCTGCAATTCTTCTATCAAGAAAAATTGATATTTCACCATGAGCAGTGTAGTGTGTCAGAGCTTATTTACACTTGTGAAGTAAGAAAGCAGAGTTTGTGACTTTATGTAATCTAGTGAAGTAGCAAAACTAGTAATACTATATTGTGTGCATTAAACAGCAAAAACAAGCATTAATCCCAAACGGATTTGGGGTCAGCTAACATGAAGCATCATTCGAAACCATCAGCGAAATGTTCAAGTAGACAAAGTAGCATCTGAAAATAAAAGCAGAGTAAGCTAGAGTAGAGAAAACATAAGGGTTTAGATAATGAGGGTGACAAACAAAACTCAAACAAGTAGTGTTATATATAATAGGTTAATTATTATGAGTGGAAAAAAAAAATAACATATACGAAAACATGGTAGAGATATGAAAATTAAATGAAAAGATCTGGAAAAAGGGAAAAAATAAAACATAAGTGACATCAATAAGTTAGTAAAACACAAGGATTAAAGTAAATGAAAGTGTATGAAACGTTTTGTCGTGATCAAAGCATATATTCTTAATAGTATCCATTATTCGAATAAAAACCAAATCCAATCCAATCCAAACCAAATTAATAATACAAATCTAATTATTTATTTATTTATTTATTTATTTATTTTAATCAAATCAGATCAGATTGAAATATATTGAAAAATCGAATTTTATCGAATTGAAGGGATATAGATCCAAATATACCAAACAAACAAAATTATTCCAGAAGTCTAATATTATTTTTTAAACTACTTGAATTTAATAACATACAATACAAAATCACAACTTCGCTACTTTAATCTTTCCTAAGACATTTCGGGATTTTGAACCAATGTAAACCTATTAGTAATATTTTGTTTTTTTTTTTTTTTTTTAATGTGTTAACACAAAACGGATAATTTGCCTGAATAAAATGGTATAATAACAACAGCAGCAACAAAGCTTTAGTCCTAAAATAACTTAGGGTAGGCTAACATGAATCGTTTATAAGGAACCGTCCGAAAAGGATAAAGAGCATAGCAACATAATCAATTGAAAAAAAAAGTTGAGAATTTTTATTTTAGTTTAGATTTTAAATAGGATCCAAATTACCGAAGTCTAATTCAGATTGGATTTAGTGAAAATTCAGATTGGACTTAGTGAAAATTCAGATTGGACTTAGTGAAAATTCAGATTGGATTTAGTGAAAATTCAGATCGAATTGGACTCAACTTTTGAAAGCCAAATTTTAACACAAATCGGACCCAAATCCAAACCGAACACCTAATCGACACCTCTGTATATTCTCTCCTTCCACTCAACCCCATCCAACGTCATATTTTCCTCAATTCCCAATAAATTCATATCACTCCAAGTTTTCTTTGGTCTACCACTAACCCTCACGATCCCATCATTATGCCACTCTTTGAGCCTCATAGCCGGTGCATCACTAGGTCAACATGTTACCGTTTACATGAACAAGCTACCTCAAGATATCCTTCTCTTAATTAATCAATAGATGTAAATTCTACTTGATTACTAATTACCTCATTCCAAAACCGATCCTTTCTAATATGACCATACATCCATCGTAGCATACGCATCTCTACCACATTCATCTTATGAATGTACTTCGTAAATAATGTTTCATGACTTAACGCTCTATACCATATATAGGAAGGTTTAATTGTCGCACAGTAGAAATTTCCCTACAATGGGGCAAGCCAAAATCACATAGGCCATAGGGTTAACCACATGGGAACCTATCACCCACTGCTTTGATTTTGTGATCAACATCTCCATCCAATTCCCTATATGTTTGAATAATTCATCATAGATAGTTAAGAATTCGGAACCTTTACAAAATACTCACATCTAAATACACCACCCCTAGGAGATCTCCCTTGCCTTCCAACTTCTTATTGCACTAAATTTACACTACAGATATTTTGTTTTACGTAAAGCCTTGCAAATTCTATCTCCACAATTCCAACTTGTTTTCCACACCTTGCTTCCTCTCATCAATAAAAAAAAATACTTCGTATCATCCAAAAACATCATGCACCATAGTAAATTTTCTAGGATTGAGCGCTTCAATTCGTCCATAACTATCCCAAAAAGAAAGGGGCTAAGTGTAGACCCTTTATGTACTCCAAACATTATAGGGAACTCTTTTATCTTCCGAACAATTATTTGCACACTTGGCTAAAACCCTTACACATATCCTTAATGGTGCTAACATATTTCCGTAAAATATCTTTCCTTATTAACGCCCACCAAAGCACTTCTCTTCGTACCTTATTGTACGCCTTCACCAAATCAATGAAAACCTTGTGTAATTCCTTTTTTCTTATCCTAATAGCTCTCCACTAGTTATCTTATGAGTTGAAATGCCTCCACTACTCCACAATTGATCTTCCTAGCATAAAGCCAAATTGGTTCTCCACGACCTTCCTCTTTATCCTTTGTTTAAACACTTGTTTCCAACTCACACTCATCTATGAATAATTGCTAACTACAACCATTGCCTAATTTAAATTTTAGCTTTCTCGTAGGCCTTCACCAAATCAATGAAAACGTTGTGTATTTCTTATCCCAATAGTTCTCCAATAGTTATCTTATGAGTTGAAATGCCTCCACGTCCACAATTGATCTCCCTAGCATAAAGCCAAATTAATTCTCCACAATCTTCACACTCCTCTTTATCTTTTTTTTAAACACTTGCTCCCACAATCCTCACACTTATCTATGAATAATTGCTAACTACAACCATTGGCTAATTTAAATTTTAGCTTTCTGAAAACTACAATCAAGTTTTTGGAATTCAGCAAAAGTCACGCTGATTTTCTAGTTGCCACTTTATAATGGATGAGATAGGAGTATAGGACTAGTGCGCGTAAACTAATGTGAAGCTCATCATCATGCTTTTTATGTACAACCTATCAAATTAAAGACCTCAAATCTGAAAATAACAACGATACCATATAGATCCTCAGTCAGAACCTTACTAGATGAGATGAATCTGGAAGATGGCCACATTTTCCATCAAGAATAATTTTCAACATGAACACAAACTAGTAACGATTTTAACATTAATTTTCACCAAAATAACCTTTTATATAGTGATTTTCCCCCATCATTCACCGCTAGATCGAATTAGTGTGGTCTGAGAATTCAAAAGACAATCGACTACATTTTCATTCAATGTAACAATTATATGCACAAATCTGAAACTAGCATATGTGTCTATCATTACTCTGTCAAATCTTCGTACTTATGGTTATTTAGCCATAATTTCACAACTTGTTTGGTATGTGGTAATAAATGGTGAAATGTAATTATCGTTATCAGGAAATTCTCATGCCATCAAGGTCATGATTATCCATCCCCAAATCATTTTCTTCATAACTTTTCAAAACCATCGATTACCAATTAATAGGTGGTATTCAGTAATAAATATGAAGAAAAATATAAGTTTAAGGTTAGACTTTCATTACCAAGGTAATAAACTAGCCTTGTCTTACAAATTAAACACAAAAATAATTACTGTTCCCACAAATTATGATTGCTTATCAAGCGGACCGTCAATGTATGTATGTTACACAATGAGATGCAAATGCATGAAGCTTGCTACAAACCAAAGTTCTCACATGAAATAGCTTCCTAACAAGCTTGTATTGCTTCAGACAGGCAAAGCCCAATTCTTTCTGCAAAACAATTCCCGCCATAATTTGAAAATTCCATTATCAATTGTTGTGCGACATGTGCACTAGAACTTATATTGCATTCAAAGACTCGTGGTAGCTGCTAAGTAAAGGCTTAAAATGACTCATGGCATATAGTGAAATCTAACCTATATAAAGTTAAACAAGATTTAAAATATTTTCATTCAAGAAGTTAGACCAGTAAATACACTTAATACTCTTATCAAACAAGTCAAGTTAGAGTCAAATGTCTGGACTATGTCTAATCAAACGGGAGAGGTAAACGACAAGAGACCCTTAGCCGGTTTATCTTTGGCAGAAACATCAACACAGCCTATCATTACTCCATGCAGCACGCAGCACGCACCCTCAATCAAAGTATGGAACCTTCCTTAATCCGATACGACAGAATTTGGAACATGCAACGCGCACTCAATACTCTAACATTATTTCATGCTTTTATTAACTCATACAGTGGACATATTCCAGATAAGCACAATTTTAGGTGAATAAACTGAAGCTTTCGAATGACATCTTGTGGTGAATTTATAAAACTCAGACCAAATACTCATCCAACGTCTACCAAATACCAACACTCAATCAAAGTCCTAGCAATGTGAATATTTGAGATCAAAATTCATACAATGTGCAACCCTATTTACATGAAAAACAACTGTATTTTCTCAAATTTCACAAGAATATATTCACCTAAATTTGTTAAAATTAAAAATAAAAATAAAAATTCATGATCATGCAATAAAACAAAACCCCAATTCACAAAAGTGCTCAAAAAACTAAAAAAAATCACAAAATTTAAAATTAAAAAAATTAAAAAAAAAATAATAATTCAATTAGTGAAAACTGAGTCAAATGAGAGAGAAAGAGAGTATACAAGGGAAATAGAGCTTGTTGGAGGGATCAAGGCGAAGACGGCGTCGAGTAGGAAGCAAAGATCTAGCAACAGAAGTAACAGAAGGAGCAGCAGGTTGAGAATTTGAGCCTTCACCATTGTTATTGCTGTGATTATGACCACTTTGCATCATTACAGAATTAGCAGAAGTTACAGAAGAAGATGAAATTGAGGGATTATTTTGACGAAATGGGATCTTAAAAAGACCCCAAACTTTTCCTCCTCCTTCAGATCCTTCCTCAGTTATCGCCATTTTTACACCATTTAAAAAGCTTCAATTTTGATTATTTTTCCTTCAATTTTTTTGGGTTTTCTTTTGTTGGTTTTAAATTGAAATGGGTTTTTTCAATTTTGGAAGAGGAGAGAGAAAATGGAGTTGAAGAAGACTTTTTGGTTTGAGTTGTTTCTGCTTTTTCTTCAACTTTGGAGAGAGAAAGGGGAAATGGTGGGCCGGGGAGTGGGGAAGATGATGATGATGACTGTGTGAGGGAGGGGATTGCGGTTTTAGACTTTAACTTTCTACTAATCCAATTCCAATATTTGGTTTCAAAAATCAAAACTTTTGATTTTTTTAATTATTCAACATTGTTTGAAATTAGAATTGTATTAAAATACACCATTTTAGGTGGTATTTTGTGCAATAAAACTAGTTAAAAATGATGAGGTGAGTGGTATTGGTTGTTGAAAAATTGTTTGTAGAAACTTGAGATTTTAACTAATTTGTTGTGTTCAAAAAAAATATATTATATATTTAATTCGGTGGAAGTTGAGAGGCTAATTAGGTTAGTTATGGGAAGTAAAGATATATAATTCGATGTTTGGATTTAATTTGTGTCTTGTCATGATAATTCAATTTATGTTTGGATTTAATTTGTGTCTTGTCATGATAATTCAATTTATGACAACGGATAACAAGTTATCATAATTGATAAACAAGGTGCAAAGTAAATGGTTAAATACATATAGGTGATACTTGAACGAATCTTATTTTAACAAATATGAAAAGGTAGTATTTATGGAGTTGAATGTCGAATAAATAGCGTTGAAATTGAAAAAGACAAATGGAAAGGTAGTTGAAAAATGAAAGTTGGTAGAGATTGAGAGGTACATTTACAAGCTAAAATTGACAAGTTATAAATTAGTTTAAACCACCAAAATTTAATAAAACTGAAGTTGAAAGTAAGCTTGCAAAGTCTTCTAATTTAACTCGAAGGTTGTTTTCATATATTGATTGAAGTGCTTGATTACTAACTTTAAAGGAATAATTAGGTGGCCTAAACGTTTGTTACTTTTCTCTTGTAATATAATTAGCAATTTTATACTTAAATTGGTATGTTATCTTAATTTTAGTAGGTATAACTGTTACAAAGTGAAAAAGAATAATTTTAACGGCATAAATATAATAATGGTCACAACTTGTGTAGGTTTTTGTGCCACATCCAATTTTCAAGATATGATCATTATAAATTAATAATTACTCTTTCAATGATAAGCCGCAACTTTTATAGTTCAGATTATCGGTCCAAATAGTACACGTGATTATTGGATATTGTTTGGAACACTTAAATTTGCCAAGCCTGCAAAGCAACATTACAAGCCCAAAAAACTCATTGATGCTATTGCTTTAATAGTATATAGCAATTAGTAGCATAAACTAACCAATCAAGCTATAAGCTTTATAATCAACAACTAGTTGCATAGCCAATATTGCCATGTAATATAAATTGCATCACATTGCTGGAAAATGGTTCAATATTTTGATAAATTTCTAGTAAAATCAACTTTTGGTATTTGTCTTGAGGTAAATGGACATATATGTATAGTACTATATAACATTTAAATAAAGGAAAACTTTGAAAAAGAAAATAAAAAAACCTAGTTCATGTTTTGAACTAGTAAATAAAGACTCGAAACTCCAAAACATGAAATATAGTGTGGAAATTGCAAAAGGCAAAGCCAACAAAATATGAAAATTAAAAGGGTACATTCATCATGTCATGAGTAACTACTACGGAGTACATTAAAATTTTGGTTTGCCAACAATTAGCTAAGCTCATTCGTTTTTAGGTAATCATGGTGTACCTTAATAATCTCTCTGATCATCACTTTATGTCATGTATGGAAAATTTTATATGGTAACAATTAAGTGGTTAAATACCAAACTTTAACCTTAGATGGAAGAGAATGTATAAGGTCCAACGCAATTAAGCTCATTCCTCTAAGAAGAATTGTGCTTAGATGGAGAGACACTACTACAAAAAAAGCCTTAGAGAACGGTTGAAATAGGCTTTATAGAACGCCTTAGGACCGTTCTTCTGCTAAGTGATGTATAAAGTATATAGATCGGCTCAATGAAGCGTTCTGTATACTAGGAAATAGAGAACGGTCATCAGTCATAACTGTTCTCTTTTCCCTTCTTGAAATTAGAAAATGATGAAGAAATACAGGACACTTATATACAGGTTAATTTAGCTTTTTAATTTATTTTTTAAAAAAAAAAAGAGATTAGAGAACGGTTGCCTTAGGTGACCGCTCTCTTTGTAGGTGTAATATACAACGGTTAGGCTATATTAAAATAACCATTACACTAATTAATGATAATATATATATATATATTTCCTGTAAAAAAAATCTGCATCCATTTCCTGCATAAAAAACCTTTCTACTGTCATATATATGTACAATTCAAACAATCTATTCATCCGTTCAAAATACGTTCTATACATATACGAGAAATAAAATCAAAACACCTCTCTAATGTTGATTAAAAGAAATACAAAATTAGGTATTGATATCATTGAGCTACAGTTCACACAGATGGCCATCGTCTTCATCATTTGGTGCTGGCATCCGGTCATATATATATGAGATCCACCTCCCCCTAAACTCGTCAATCATTAATTGAGAATATGTAGGAGCTGAGGAACTTTGTCAAAGTACTACAAGACAATGTAAAAATTATATGCAAGTTAATATGCAATAAAGTAATCCAATAAATATAAGGTCGAAATTTTCCTCCAATTAAAATGTTTGAGATTGATGACACAAGACCAGTAACCTAAATTCCATATCAACAAACAACAAGACTAAAATAAAATTGTGTCCATTTATACCATCTACTTTTTCTTTCTAAGTTGTAGATTACATTTAAATAGTATGATTATCCATAATCGTAATTGAAGTGTGAAAATCATGTTATTACCTGACACATGCCTATTTCAGCAATTTTATTAACTGTACCATGCCTTTAAAATTTGAACATTCTTTGATCATAGTTCCCTAACATGAATTGGTAGCTTTGATAGAGCCTCTGCAAAGTTTAAATGGAAGTAGAAGTTTCAGAGCTATAATGCTAAAAACATGGGGAAAAAAATAAGGGGAAATAATTTAGTACCTGTAGTAGATGCATCTTTTTGCTTTAGTTCAGAAGTATTTAAGTTCTAAATAAATTGTCTTCCACAAAAAATGTCTCCCTTCAATGAAGAAAAGAAAAAAATTGGGAGCATTTCAGGGGCACAAGAACAAATATGGTCAGAATTGAAGGAAGTGTATCAAAGTTACACATGTGAAATACATGATATATTAATTTTGATAAATAAAACCAAGTATCCTACTGGTGAGTAATCCTGGGCACCGTGCCGGGCCGTGCCGCCGCGGGCCATGCCTGGCGGGCCACGGGCTGGTTCGTGCCGTGCCGATCGTGCCGGCGGGCCCAGGATTTCGTATCGTGCCGTGCCGGCCATTTTCACAGGCCAGCCCACGGCACGGCACGACCCTCGTGCCTGGCGGGCTCGTGCCGGCCTGCGGGCTGGCAGCGGGCTGGTGCAGTTTTTAAATAATTTTTTTTTTTTATATGACAACATTATAAATTAATAAGTTTATAATGTATATAAGTTATAAAATTATAATTGTAAGTTTTATAAGGTAACTTATAAGTTTATAACTTATAAGTTATAAGTTATTAAGTTATGAATTTTATAATTATAAGTTGAATATTTATGTTTTATAATTTGTATATTCAATATTTATATTTATATATTTACTTTATACTATTACTTTAAAATTTAATGTTTATGATTTATTAGTAATTGGTATAATTTTATTTTATTTTAATATGAATTTACAAATTGTAACAAAACGGGGAAAAAAGGCAAATTGGACTTTGGATGTGAATAATGCGTACTTTATATTATTATTACTTGAGTTGAGAAAATTGTACAATGATAACAATGATAAAAATCATACAATGATGGTATTAAACAAAAATTGGAAAATGATAAAATTGATATTTTTAAAATCGTACAATATACAATAATTGTCTATTCTTCTTCTCCTTCTTCTTGCTCGTCTTCGTCTTCGCCTTCGCCTTCAAGGTCATCGGCTAGTTGCATAGATTGGGAACTAGCCGAACCCGAACCGGAAGCGGAGGTTCCTTCTTCGTTGTCGTTGTGGTCGTAAGAACGGTCTTGTGAGCGATTTTCCGCATCCAACCAATCTTTGAAACACACGCACATTTCTAGTGTTTCGGGTTTTAGACTTGTTCTTCTATCGTCTAAAACCCTTCCGGATGCGCTGAAAGCTCGTTCGGAGGCGACGGAGGAAACTTGGATAGCAAGAATGTCTCGTGCCATTGCCGCCAAAGTTGGATGCTTCGAGCTTTGTTGTTTCCACCATGCAAGGAGGTCGAGGCTGTTTATCTCATCGTCGTCCATGCCTTTGGTGAAGTCGTAACTCAGGTACATCTGCAACTCCGAGACGTCGCTTTGCGTTCTCCTGATTGATGAATCACCTGAAAACCTTGAAATCAAGTTAGTAGCTTGTGAAAATAAATGTTTGGCCTTCTTACTTACGTTTTTGGATGGTTGGGAAGGCCCTGAGCGAGGAACGGTGCCATATTTGGCTTCATAGACTCTATATAAAGCAAAAAACTGATCCTTCACATTAGTCTTATAGTTTTCTACATCATCGTCAAGAAACATGCATTGAAAGTAAATGTCAACTAACATAAATGTGTTTTCATACTTTTGCCTAGGATCTAATATGGAAGCAAAAATATAAATCAAAGGAATCTCACTATAATATTTACGCCACTTTTTTTCCATTGCTGGAAGATACTGATCATAATCACTTTGATGGCGATGATCAGCGAAAAGTTGGGCGAGTAAGCATGCATTAGAAAGAAAGTTTTGAGCACAAGGATTGTAAACAGTAGAAAAACAATACGTCATGTTATATAATAACTGTAAAAATTGCATATATCTTTCACAGTTTTTCCAATCATCATCATACAAAGCATTTTGTGGAAATTTTTGGTTGTAAAATAATGTTAACGGGCCCTTGTACTCAATTGCCTTTGTTAACATGTCATAGGTGGAATTCCACCTAGTTGGGCAATCGGTTCTAATTTTTATTACCCTTATCTTTTGTTGTTTTAGAAAACTCTTCCATTCTTGGTATCTCATGTTAGAGCTATTAATAGACATAATAGCATCTCTGATTTTGCTGTAGTATGGGCCAATTGCCCGAACTCCATCCTGTACACATAAGTTAAGTACATGGCAAACACATCTAGTATGAAGAGCTTCACCGTCTAATAGTACATCGGTTAAGTTTTGTTTGATAAGATTAGCTGTGTATGTCATAGAGGTTGCATTATCAAAAGTCATAGACATCATTTTATCTCGAAGGTTGTATTCGTCTATTGCTTGCATTAAATGGTGAGCAATGTTAATGTCGGTGTGTGGGTATTCCAGCATTTTGAAATGTATTATTCTTTTTTGAAACATCCATTGATCATCTACCCAATGGAAAGTCACACATAAATAGTGATATTTATAACCACTATCCCAAGAATCGGCTGTTAAAGATACTCTACAGTTAAGGTTACTCAATTCGGCTTGTAACCGGACTTTGTACTCTAGGAAATTTTTCATTGCGGCGGAACGAACGGTTTTCCTAGAGATTCTTTTATGTTGGGGTTGTAGTGCTTTGTTAATGTAGGTGTTGAATGCGTCACTTTCCGAGAAAAGAAAAGGTTGTTCGGCGTGTACTATCATTTTTCCTAGTTCATCCCTATCCCTCTCATAGTTGTATGTAAAGCCGTATGGATGGAATTGGGAAATTTTGGGCTGGGTTGGATCACTAGCTGGTTTTGCACAAGCTTTCATGTGTCTAGATAAGTGTCCCGTCCCGTTTTTGGTAACTGCCGTGAATACACTATTACATGTTTTACATTTTGCCCATTGTTCACCATCTTTACTTAGGACAAAATAACGTCATACCTCACTCCTTCGGTTTTTCAAAAGTAGCATCTCAGTTTCGGTTAACCATTCATGATGTGTGTGATGGTTAGTAGTGAGACTAGTGGGAGTGGCAGTAGAAGGGGTAGAACCGGAGGGAATTCGGGTACTTTCTTGGCTACCTTGGCTAGAACAATAGTTTTGTTGATCACCGATATAATTAGGTGGAAATTGGTATGGTGGTAGTGGAAATTGGTTTAGTGGTGGTGCTGGAAATCCCGACGTATTATATGGCTCATAGCCCGGGGGGAAGTAAATGGGGTCATTGGTTTGACTCGTAATTTGGGGGCTCGTTGTATTTGGTGGTTCCCTAGAACTACTACTACGGATAAGTCGGCCTTTCCCCCTAGACCTAGATGATGGGTTGTTCGATGCCATAATTAACAATTAATTTTTTAATAAAAAGTGGTTAACTATAATAATAATAATTAATAACAACAATTTTAACAATAAAAATATCAATAATAATAATTAATAACAACAACTATAACAATAACAATAACAACAAAAATAAATAATAACAACAATTGTAACAATAATAATAATTAATAACAACAATTATAACAACAACAATAACAATTAACAACAATAATAATTAAACAAGATTATTCTAATAATAACAATAAAACAATAATAAATTTAAGATTAGTTTAGATCTTACAACCGTGCTTCAACGCTCCACTAATTACGATTACGAACTTTTTAATTTTTTCCGATATTAGGAAAATAATTAGAGAATTTAAGAGAATAATTAGAGAATTTAAGAAAATAAGGATTATTAGAGATTTAGAGAATATAAGAGATAAGAAGAAGAGATTGTGATTTTGTGATTTGGGAATGAAATGGAGGTGAGTATTTATAGAATTTTTGGGGAGCAAATTGGCAAAAAACTAGCCGTTTTTTTGGCTTATTAGAGCTAGAATAAACGGTAACATTACCGTTGGCCCGCGGGCCGTGCCTGCAGGCCATGCCCGTGCTCGTGCCTGGGAATTCTCAACCCTATCCGTGGCACGGGAGTTGAACTTCGTGCCGTGCCGTGCTTGAATTCGGGTCGTGCCGGGCTGCGCCGAACGGCGGGCCGTGCCGGGCGGCACGCGGGCCAACCCGGCCCGTGCCCAGGTTTACTGGTGAGTGGTGATTGTAATCTGATAAATCATTCTTTATCATTCACTACTTAACAAATATAAATGCATGCTTAAGAATCTTTTGTGGGAGCTAATGTTTAATGTAACATGAATATGAAACTATTGTCGTTGCTTTGGACACGGGATATAAGGGGATCGATAATCCCTAGTCCTTTTTACTCTTTGTTTAGATTGAAGGAAATGGAGGGAAAGGAAAGGAATGAAGGGAAATAGAGGAAAGGAGTATCTTTCATTTGGATAACAAATGAAAAAGGAAGGGAATTGGAGGATTAAATAATAAGAATTTATCTCTCCAACAATGAGTTTAATTTTAAAAATTAAAATTAAACCTCACGAAAATTTTGTTATAATTTGCTTAATGCACAATAATGAAAGACATAACTAACATAATGTGTACCCATTTATCACAATCCTCATTATCATATTTGCAATTCAATGTTTACAAAAATACATAGAAACAAAGATATGAATAAGGTTTATACTCTTTATAATTGATAAATTTTACCTTTTAGATCAAAATGATTTATGCCAATTCACATATCTCATGCAATATCCTTCTTGTGTATTTTTGTTTTAATCAAGCTAATAAAACATACTCTCTCAATCCCATAACTAATGTTGTCATAGAACATAAAAATCAAGTTTACAATCATCCCTATTGTATATCTTTATCTATAAATGATCAAAAATTACACCAATATAAATAAAAGTTATGAATATCTATTTAGGGGCCGTTTGGTTCATGAAATATATGAATGAGGTATAGGTTTGGTTGATGATTGAATATACAAATATCTATTTAAACTCATGCCATATGTTTGGTTGATGATTAAATAAATTATATAAGTATAAATTTTAAACCCATACCTCAATCCCTAAGTTATGGGGTTTGAAAACCCAAAAAGATATATGGATTTGACAATTTGACCCATACCAATACTTCAAGTACTATAACAAATGAAAGAAGGAAAAATTCATTCTAAAATTGAAACAAACATACACTTGATATTAAGAAGGTATTTTAAGAACTCGATAGAGGTCTTTAGTCTCCATGCTTGCATTCGACGTACATATATATACTATTAGAACTCAAATATATTTTCGCATCACTTGATAGTAAGTAATTATTGATAATACCTACAATATCCTGAGTTGGGGCTAAAATTTCTCTTTCTTGTAAGTATTTTGTATTCCATAAATAAACCAAATAAGAAGGATAAGAACTTTCGATGATAGCTTCAACCAAATTAGATGCTTTCAACATTGCTCTTTCATCGATCATTGATAACTATAATTCCTTCACCATAATTTGGCTCCCATAACTTATCATCTCCAACTAAATATTATTTAATAAATCTATAGATTTTCTTTCAAGGGTAAAGCTAAGCTACTTATCACCTGTATTTGAATATATACATTCAATTTCATTTAGCATATAATTTTAAATCAAGACCCGTAATAAAGGCCTTGTTCACTTCACATCAAAAAAATAATATTCAGTAAAAATAATTTCAGTTCAGTAAAAAAATTTCAGTTCAACAAAAATAAGTTCAGTTTAGTAAAATTAAGTTCAGTTCAGTAAAAATAATTTCAGTTCAGTAAAAATCAGTAACTTTAAAGAAGAAATATAACACAAAATCAGTAAAAATTATTTTAGTTCAACAAAAATAATTTGAGTTCAGTAAAAATAATTTAAGGTCAGTAAAAATAATTTTAGTTCAGCAAAAATAAGGTGATGTGAACAGGGCCTAAATATATATAGTATCATTGATAATATAATAGGATTTTCTTCCAAGAGTAAAGTAGATCAAGCTACTTTCTCTTGTATTTGAATATACACGTTCAATTTCATTTAGCATATACCTTTAAATTAAGACTCTTAATAAAAATATAAAGAAAAACTTCAATATTTTTTATTTTGACGGGGAAAGTTCAATATTACCTTATGCAAATAATGAATCATTTGAACCAAATATAACAAAAAATACATTTGTTAAAAAAAAAATAAAAAAAAAAAACCTCCCTCAATTCCAATTTAATAGTCCCATTTTGACTTTGCACGGTCTTTAAAATGTACCTTTAACCATCAACATCTTTAAATACTACCCCCGTTTTATATTTTTTTGCAGCTTTGGAATATTTTATATCTTACAAATAATATCCAAAGTTACAAAAAATATGAAATGGAGGTAGTATATATATTAACAAAAATTATAAAAATTTGATATCATTAAACTATACATTGAGACGAACCTAACACCGCATAAAGTTTTAATTTAGTATCCATTGACCATACGCTAGCTACACTCATACATTATCCGTCCTTATATTAGGTACACCATATTTTGCAAATTATTTTGATTTGGTTATGAGTACCAGGGTTTTTTTTAAAAAAAAATTTATGATTTGTATATATGAAATATGATTGATGTAATAACAATTGCTCTATTGTTTATACTATACGTTAACACAAACACTATAAAAATTAGGGAATAAAAATTGTATTCTTGACAAATTACAATCTTCTGCTTCAATAATTAAGGTTATGTATTTGTATTATTATTATTGTTATTGTTAGATAAAAACAAAATTGATAGGAAAATTTGCACAAGATTTTAACATGTGATATTATTATTTATAAATTTAAAAGTAAAATAATGAAGACATACTATGTACTTTCTATGTATTCAACTTAAATTATATCCTTTTTTAATTAAAATAAATTTTATTGCCAAATTAAAATAATTAAGTTGGAGGAAATAAGGGATAATATTAAACTTATCTTTGATAATATAGTATCAATGCGTTTTGAGTGTGGGCTGAACAGAAACTCTATTTGATTGTATATGAACAGAAACTCTATTTGATTGTATATGGATTAAATGTAATTGCCAAAATGGAAAGATAATATTTTTAAAAATAGTTCGTATATTATAACATTTGAGTATTTGACAAAAAAAATTAGATTAATTAAATCAAAAAAGGAAAGAATCAAAGGCGTAAATTTTTTTTTAACTAGACATAATTGTACTTATTGAAATGAGTCAAAAGATGTAAAAAGATTTTATTCAAAGATAATAATCATTAATAAAATGAAATATTGCAATAATTATTAAAAGATATTACAAAAATTTCTTTATTTAGGAGTTTGTAAATGGGCGGGAAAATATTAATTGGCAGAGTGACATGTGTCATTTTTACATGTAGGCGCCCTTTGTTTTAGTATATATATAGATAGATAGATAGATTAAGACAACCATGTTTTTTTCACCTAATAATTACTCCGTACTATTTTTAAATTACATTTGTTGAATTTAGATATTTATTATTGAAATTAAATTCATTAAACTGATTAGTTAAAAAAAAAATCATTAAATTGATTAAAACTTATTTATATTGACTTACTATAATATTTGTTCCTTAAAGTTTGATTTTATTGAACTAAACTCGTCATGATACGTGTTGGATCCTGACATGTGGTAACTCAGTCAACCAATGCCATCTTTATAGACTTTAGCCATGATTATCAAGTCATGCATGCATAACCTTAGTCAAATATAACTATTACATGAAGTATTTATCATACAAAAAGTTCTTTTTCCCAAAGGAGTAACTATTTTAGGATGTAATGTAACTTTTTCACTGATGAGTGATGACTTTGCCAAAGTTCTAACATGTCAAATTAGTATGGAAGAAGACCATATTAATTAATAAATAATTTGATGAAATTGAATGCCATAATAATACACCAAAGTAATTAAAATTGGCCAGCAAAAGGGTCATCATCATCCCATTGGAGTACAGCGGACCCAATATTCTGCTCCCTTTTGAGTTTATCTTTCAAGAACCAATCACAAATTCTTCCTGCATTTAGTTCTTCTATTGAACATCCTTCTTGCTCTGCTATCACTCTCAATAGATTCAAAGATGATATCTGCCACATCATTTCAATTTAAACATTATCATTACCCTATTTTAGAATTGAAAGTGATTTTTAATGTGCATTATAGTCCACATGTATAGCCGAACCCCATCCTTTTGGGAATAAAACGTCAATTTTTTAAATATGTATTATACTATGTAATCCACATTAAATTTATATATAACGAATCGTACCCATACTATTAAAAACTTACTTGATAATTTAGTACCTATTTACTTTTTACTGTAAGAAACTAAATTCATCTACGTGATAGAGTATGTAAACCGATCTTGGGCTTCAACCATTCAACCATAAGCTGATGGTTGAAGCCCAAGATTGGTTTATATACTCTATCACTACGAGTAGAAATTAATTACCAAATTTGTCATATTCTTTAGTTGAGGTCGGATTAATGTGAATTTGAGACAGGTATTAGGCTCTAAAAACTCGAGAATATTCATACCATATCGGAACAACCTTTAATTTTTATACCAATTAATCCAAGAGTACGTATAATGTGTACTAGTTACGGTCCCCATATAATATACCGTAGCAAATTAAGCATACCCTTATTAAAAACGTCGAAAACAAAAGAAAGAGAAGGGAAACAAAAAACATACTGTTAATCTGCAAAGGAAACGTTCATGAACACTTAAACCAGAAATCTCCACCAAACCGGCCTCTTCTAGAGAAAGAAAGCTTTTCCTTTCCGTTACATCTTCATTGTTTCGAGCTTCGCCGCCGGCATAGCTAGCTCTAACAGTACAAAGTTTATTAACATTTGGCCTACTATAAAATTTAACCTTCTTTATCGTTTTAAATGCAAAATTAGAACTGATGGAGTGAAATGATGAATGATGATTATTGTGATAGGAGTATTTGCAAGGTTTGAGTATGTTCATCACGTTTGTGCTGATTGTAGGAGAGTATTTTGGGTATGTGTTAATTGGTGAAATAGAGAAAGTAAGATGCAAAGTTTTGTGTGGTAGGAATGAAGAATAAATAAAGATAGACTATATATGTAGATAATGTTACTTGGGAATTCGGCATTTGTCCGCATGCATATGCAAACAACCTAACATAGTAACAATATTGCATGGCTCGGAAATAAAATAATTGATTAATTGAGTAATTTGTTCACTAATTGTGGTGTACTCCTTCTATTCAAAAATATAATATGCTAACTTTTGTAATACAATTCTTATTTAATACTCTATATATTTTACAAGAATACCTAATATGGAGTAGCAAGTTTGAAATTACGGAGTACATTAACAATAGTTAGTTGAAATAGGTCTATATTTTACATTAATTTAAGCTAAGCATCAATTATAATGTTGATTGTTTGCATCATATTCCAACATAATAGTATGTACTTCTATAAGAACAAGAATAATTACATAATTGACTCGCCCTTTAACCATTTTTGACCAGAAAGGATGGACCTCATACGCACCCATCCTCATAGTCTAGCTGAAGGGATGAACAAGAAATTTAGGCCTTATGCTCTAAGGCTACTAATTAAATCCGTTAGACGCGGTAGCTCATTCATGGAGATCCTCAAAAATAATACGGATCGGAGTATGTAGGTTAACTCTAAGATTTTGGAGAGGTATGAAGATCGAATAAGGAAGCTTTTTAGCCTTTATCAATTTATATTTAGTGGTAGATTAATTTGCAATTTTTACAAATCTGAGTTTATAACTACTTCTATCTAATTCTTCCTCGAAGATCAACCAACCATGCTAAAAAGTTAATTTATATAATATGCTCACTTTTATTGCAAACTTGACATCATCAATATTTCCAACGTCAAGAAAAATATACCAAGTATAATTATATTATGACTCGAATTGAAGTAATATCTATACACAATTCCGCAGTAATATATAAGTACAAATTAAAAATAAATTCCCTTACAAATTCATTTACAAGAATAATTATTGAATGGTTAAAATGGACCCCAACAACTCAAATACAAGACATTCCGGAGAGATTCCTCGGCAAGCCGAAGCTTATTATCCGTGGAGGTGGTGGTAGCAACCTTACCATCGGTGGCTAACCGCCTCGTATGGCGGTTTAAGCCGGAGGAATTCTTGAAAGACATGATGAAATTAGAGTCACATTTAGAAGAAGCTTGGTCTATCTTGGTGCCTTGCAACATCACCCTCGTATTTCCTGCTGCTTGGTACAACACCCTCCCTACGTACCTCAAGCTCATATTTGAAAAAATAAATATTTTTGCTAACAAATTCAAGTTTATTTTTTACAAGAAAGTATTTGAAATAGCAAAATATTGCTTTTGTGTTTGGTTAATATTTGGTTTTTTGTATAAAAATATTGTAGATTTTGTGAATTTATATGGACTTTATGGAGTAAGATAAACAATGTTCATTCTATGGGCGGAAATTAGAAGAGAACAAAAGGTAGGCAATGACGTGGAGATTAACTTTAACCCCGCCACATCACTTAATAATAAACGCGTTGTTGACTTGTACTCTAATATGCTTGTTATGAAGAACTCTGTTCAATTCTGGAAAAGTCTTAACTGCTTAGCTCAAAAATCAAGGCCTTGTTTGTTAATTAGCTGGTAGCTGATTGATAAAGTTGTTTGTATTAACTAGTTTGATTAACTGGTTATATTAGCTGATTTGATTAGCTAGTTGTAAATAGTTGATTGTGTAAAAGTGTTTGGTAAATAGTTGTTAAGTATTAGCTGTTTATTTGATAACCAAAAAAGCTAATTGTTTAATAAGCTAATATCAAAAAACTCTTATAATGAGCTTTTTCTAAAAAGAGCTTTTTAAGCTTAAAAAGCTCTTTTAATAAGTTATTTATCAAACACCCAATTTAGCTTTTTAAATTGGTCAAATAAGCTAATATGACTCAAAAAGCTAAAAGCACTCCAAAAAACTCTTTACCAAAAAAGGTCAATGTTCATTTAGAAAATGAGCTTTTCACCAAAAAATAAAAAATAAATAATAAATCATAATGAGCAGTGCTCATCCAAAAATTAATTATTTATTTTATTACGGAATACTTTGTATGTATTTTTTTATTTTTTATTTTTATTTCGGAGTATGTACATTAGTCAATGTAAAGTTTTGACTTTTAATATCATTAATTGACAACGAATAAAAAGTATAAATATATACATACTTCGTATCTACATTTTATTTTTATTTATTATATATTAAAAGACGTTACTAATCAATGATACACGCCACGTGTCATCCCTCTCTTCCACCAAGAGAATGTCACATCACCCAATTAGAAATATGAATGCTACATGCGATTAAAAAAATGTTTTTATCAAGAATCAAAATTGGGTCTATTGGAAAATGAATAAAAAGTCATACCAACTTTGCTATCTAATAATTTAGTTAACTTATTCTTCTTAAATATAGTTAATGTAGACTATGAGAGTGTTAACTTAATCTAAAATAAAAGTATTTAACATTATTTTGTACATAAAAAATTAAAATAAAATTCATCTAAATAAACTATAATACATGAAAACTATAATACATTAATATTTAAAGTATCGACTCGGGGTATCGTCCAGGCTAAACACTAGTTTAATACTATATGTTGTGACGAACATAACAAATAACATAACTATATATTTTTCTAATATAATAATAATTACTTATACACATACTTCCTCCGTTCTTTTTTACTTGACCCGTTTTGACTTTTACACTATTCATCACCCTTCCTTTGACCGTCTTTTGTGAATAATATGTAAGGAAAAACATATTCACGTGGGATCTTTTTGAATTCGTCACAATAAGTACTTTCATAATATATAACTTTTATAATTTTTACTTACGGGGAATTAAAGTTGTTGATCATTAAAATTTTGCATTGACAAACGTAGTAATAAAAGAAACAAATCAAGTAAAAAAGAATAGAGAAAGTATTAATGATAGTTAAACTAATATATGTGAATAGTATTAATACTGGGCAAAATTTAATACTCCGTATAAATAAACAGAGACAGTAATATACAACTAAAAAATTATCTGTACTCCGTATTTAAATGGTGGTGGTTATGTTTGAGAAAGGGTGTGGGGCGAACCTGCGGGTACAACCACAAGCCCACGGTCACCCCATCACCCCATGGTTTATTCAAGCAAGTCATGTTAACACAATATTACAACTGCAAGGGGCCGCATGGTTTATTCAAGGCAGCCGTTACTTGGAAGTTGGAACTTGTTTCCACAATAATCCACATCGTATCTCGTGTTTATCTTAGCTTATTATTATCTTGTAGTAGCAATTTCGGTTAATTTCCTACCAAATTCTCTGATCTCTTGCCTATAGGATGATCCAATCAATATGTGTCGTCCTAGTACTCAAACTGCAATTTTATAATACAACGATTATATATAATTTATACAAGCAACTATGTTAGGAATATAATAGGAAAATATATATTATTGTGATATAGATTTTATGATATTATTTAGGATATAATAATATATCTATTATAACAGATGCAAAAAAAAAAAAAAAAAGATATAAAATTAACAAGAAAAACACACACATATTACGCAGTTCACCAACAACGTGTTGGCTACATCCACAGACAAGCGAGTGTAATAATTTTATTGATATTGGGGAAAACACAATGCAAATTCAGAACAAATTTGAGACTAATCACCGAAAACAGATTGATTGTCTCTCGGATTTCTAATGCTATCTCTCACGACTCACTAATGAAAATACACAAATGACTTTTAGATTTTTGAATAATCACCCAACTAATGTCATCACGGCTAGGAAATAACCTAGGGGTATTTATGATAACCCCTAAACTAGGTAAGATAGACTTTAAACAAGAAAATAAAAGCCCACAAGCAAATTGACTAAAATCGGTGGGCATGGGCTTCCCCCTTGATCAGTAGCAAAATAGGAACTCTAACTTGAATTGACACGGGCGTGTCGCACTGGGCACGGGCGTGCCGCCCCTGTGATGTACCTTGCGCGACACCTGATACGGGCAAATCAGATTTGACACGGGCATGTCAATGTGAGTGTTGCGTCTTCTCTATTGAGGCACACCCATGTCTTCCTAAGGCATGGGCGTGTCTCGCGCTTGCTGCATCTTCCCAGTTTTGCGACACAAGCTTCTTACCTCCCAAATTTCCTAGCTCCCGATTCAAGGCATCATTGTTATAATATCTTAGTGATATTCATAGATAGATTTATGGTAATTTGATATTATCTAGGATTAGGAAAGTTTACAAATGTAAAGTTTACATATGATAGAGTTTTGTACGAAGTATTATTTTGTAGGCTATAAATATTAGCCAAGAATACCAATACATTTCAAGCATTTTATCCCATAATATTTTATCAATATGATGCTCTTTCTAAAGGAGAGTGGTCATTGGTATGAAGTTTATTAATTACTATATGTACGAAGAATTTAAGTTCGATCTAATCCTTTCTTGCACAATTATTAGTTTATTACTTTATCAGTTTCTCAATACATGCATGTATTTTGTTTTTAGATTATTTATGCACAGTTTTAGCCAAAAGCAAATTTATAAAAATTGAATACTTTGAAACTATACACTGGGAGATTTGATGTTGAGCCCATTCAAAAAAAACAAGCAAAAAAGGAAATATCAGAGAATATGTACAGTACAGTGACTATTGTAATAAGTCCAATTGTTAATAGTATTAAGAAACAAATTAAAGAAAGTATTCTATAGGAATACCTTTCAATATATTTAAGGAAAAATTGGTATTAATAATCCCAACTTTGCTTCATTTTCTTTTAATAATTCCAATTTTGGATTATTTTGGAATAATCCCAACTTTGCTCCATTTTCTTTTAATAATCCCAACTTTGGATTATTCTGGATTAATTTCAACTTTGAGGGTTGTTTTCTTTCTTCAATCCCAATTATCAGTGACCCGTTGAATGGTTTTTTTTTTTTAAATAACACGTGTTGCAAGTTAATTGGTTTTAAAAAAACCCACGACCCAG